CTTCTAGCTGCTGCAGAGCACCTTCTATCCGCAGCTGCAGCAGATCCAACAACTTGCTGCTGCTGCTGCTCATCTCTTGCCTGTACAAATGCATCTCCTATTTGTTTAAACTGCTGCACTGCAGCAACCAACGAAGCAAAGTCAGCAGCAGCAGCAGCAGCAGCAGCAGCAGCAGCAGCAGAGTTGAGGCCAAAGGGAACTGCTGCTAAGACCTCAATCAGCTGCTGCTGCAGCCGCAGCCAGAGATTCTCCCGCTGCTGCAGCAGCTGCTGCCTCACCTGCAGCAGAAACAAACCGAGCCGCAGCAACGAAGGCAAACCCCGCAGCCGGTTGATTGCTGCTGCTGCCAGCTGCTGCACAGTAGGCCGCTCTATCTCCCCTTTGCTGCTGCTGCTGCTGCAGCAACAACTGCTGCTGCTGCTGCAGCAGCAGCTGGTGCTGCTGCTGCTGCTGCTGCTGCTGCTAGGTGTAGAGGGAGACGACCGCGGAGAAATACTGAAGCCTCCCTCATCCTCGANCTGCTGCTGCTGCTGCTAGGTGTAGAGGGAGACGACCGCGGAGAAATACTGAAGCCTCCCTCATCCTCGAAATCCCCTTGCTGTTGCTGCTGCTGCTGTTGCTGCTGCTGCTGCTGCTGTTCTATCTGCTGCTGTTGCTGCTGCTGCTGCTGCTGCTGCTTGCGCATGCACTGCTGCAGCAGCAGCAGCGCCTCGTGTGCATGCCAGTGTATGAGGGCGTCGATGCCGACGAGGCAATCGAAGAGAACCCCCAAGACACTCATTATGCATGCAACGCCATCTGCTGCAGCAACAGCAGCAGCTAGTTCTGCTGCTGAACGGAGACTCAGCAGCTCCGCCCCGCTCCCCCCAGCAGCAGCAGCAGCAGCAGCAGCAGCAGCAGCAGCAGCAGCGGCGGGAGAAGAAGAAGCAGAAGAAGAAGAGTCAGGCAGCAGCAGCAAACGCATGCGCATGTCCATCTCTGCCTCAGAAAAAGCAGCAGCATCAGCAGGAACAAACGCAAACAGCACTTGTCGTGTTGCTGCTGCTGCTGCTGCTGCTGCTGCAGCAGATACTGCAGCACCAACAGAAAAAGAAGGAGGAAGCAGCGAATAAGCACCAAGAGCCGCCATATACAAACCCCAAGTATCATCTGCTGCTGCTGCTGTTGCTGCTGCTGCTGCTGGTGCTGCTGGTGCAGCATCAGCTGCTGCAGCTGCTGCTGCAGCTGGCCCTTGTTGACCCGCAGCAGCAGCAGCAGCAGCAGCAGCAGCAGCAGCAGCAGCAGCAG